AATCCTGTGTTATTATGACAACGTTAAACAAGAGATTTGATTAAAATAACAGATGACCATATATTAATAACCTTTATATCTCAAATAAATATATGGAACCAACTGCATTTCGACCTCATGGTACTAATCATTCAAACTAATTGTGTATCATGTGTATCATTTGACATTATTTATGGCATGTATACTTGGGCCCCTGTGATGCTGCTTGCAGCTTTAATTCTCTTTCTCTTTGTAAATTAAATTTCAAGTACGACTGAGATACAAGTTTAAAGTTTTTTGGAGGTATACTGTAAGTTATTTTGGAATTGTTAGTTTTTGTCAGCGGTAACATGATTGTAGAATGAAAGATGTCAGAGGAGTTAATTTCAAACAAAAAGACTTAAAATGCACAAACCTGAGTAAATGGATCTTGTGAATCTGGTTTTGTTTCTTGTCAATAAGAAGAAACATCAAATCGGATTGATAGCATGGTTGAATTGCTAGAGAGAAATAAAAAGTTCCACTTATTGAGAGGTCCGGTATTATTTATGGATTTCTTTGTTTTTTTCAGATAGTGAGTGTTTGCAGCAATCTATCAGATGTCTCCAGTGCAGTCAATGCCATTGTACTTGACCTAGTAAGTATCATCACCACAAACCAGAGCATGTCAACTAATTAATATTTAATTATAAAATGTAATTATAAAGTGTGATTATTGTAGTTTTGATTTTAGGCTCTTTGGGCACATCAGAGACATGCTCTAGGTATGAATAACAAAATGCTTAATATAGTAAATCAAATTTGTGGTTATTGTTTATTTGTAAAATTATCTTACTTTTGTTTTACAGCCGTTCTGAGAATTATTCGGCCAGTCAGTTAGCAAAATGACTTGCAACTTTGCAAAACACTTTGGTCTTTGCCCAATCTAGACTTGTCGGTGCAACTTTATTGATGGGTGCATGGTTTGGGATTATTATTTCATAGGGGTTGTCGATGAATAGGGATGAATTGCAAGTATTATCTAGCATGCGTTTACAGCAACCATTGGGTGTTGCTTAAATTTGACGAGAATGTCAATCTCTCGCTCATTTTAGTCAGTTGTACCTGTTACAAAAATGGACTAGACATAATAACGGTCGTTATACCCCGTCATTTTCAAACTGCAGTTGAAAAAGTGATTCGCTTGAAGAAAGCACTTTTGATTTGACAAAGTTCATCAAACCGTTATAAACAAGTTTTCCGTTTGTGTATCCTTGACGTACTCTCCCACCTCGGTATAAAATCGGAATTTGAAACATAATGCACCAGTAATGTAAAAACAACTTTTAGTTTGACCCAAAACTGGTGCGAAACTGCAGCACGTCCAATGCTAAGAAACTTTACTTTGAGCCTTCACGCCAATGGCGAGTTCATTAGTAACTACTCAACACTCAGGAGTTGTTTTGTGAATTGCGCTATGTCAAGTGAACTCAGATGGTTATAACAATTTAAAATAACAATTTGAATGCATATACAACATAAAACCTGTTAATGTATGGTAACCAACGTGTGTTGTTTTGAAAACAGCGTTTTACTCTCATCTAGCAAGATAATGGAATGATCCCAATTGTGGGCGTGCCAATGTCGCCATCAAGTCTAGATTAGACCCAAGTGTTTTGCAAAGTTCCAAGATATATTGCTAACTGACTGTCTGAATAATTTTCTAAACGGCTGTAATGTCTTGAATGAATGATCATAACAGCAAAAAAATGCTGTTATCGATAATCCATGGTGATGAAACTGAGGGTGCAAAACTTATGAAATGGATCTATTGGTATTGTATTCGTCATGTGCTTCACTTTCAAAAAATATGAGTCAACCTTTTTGGGGGATTTTTGTCTAAATATTTTAAAATACTAATAAAAAAAATTGATAAATCTAGCGAATTTAAAACAAAATTAAAGCCATGTCGATCTACTTGTAATATTGTAAATTATATTAATGTACATCTGACACACATAAGTTACAGTGTGCCGTAATTTTGTGGTATTGCACTGGGTATTTTCATCCTACCATATTAGGAAACACGAATTCCAAATATGGAACGATTACACACGTACGCATCCTCTAATAAAAATAAACAAACATGGCTGCCCCCAGGGTTTGACCCGATCCCACACAAAGTTCGCTAAATATGTTCTAAACTACTTGGGTTTCGGCATTCCCATGATGTATTCCTGGGAGGAAAAGTGTAAATGTATAAAAGTAACGTTATTATGAGGACAGTATGTGGTCGCATTGACCTCCGCTGCGTGTCAGTCGATACTCCTGTTGTACTGTCTTTGTGCATACTTTGCAGTACCTCGTAATAACCTCAT